CCATTTTTCCCTTTTCACGTTTGGCATAACAACTTCAGCATTTTTATCCAAACGCATAATTGCTTATTTTAAAAAGAAGTTTCAGCACTTTCAAAAGTACTTTTTTAAAGCTGCTTTTATTAAGCTCATCCAAACGGGCCCTAAAGCTAACCCTATTAAGTGTAAGTAAATTCTGACATTTCTCCAATTTGTCTAACTATTACTCATCTTCGAGCAGATAGAAGTCATAAATCTTGATTCTTGTTGAAAATATGTTCTCAAATAGAACTATAAGAATTATGGAGACCGTAGAAAGGGCTTGAGATGAGCCCAATAGTATGCTTTAGCCCATCAATTCAAAATGTTATATTCTTATTAATGTAAATCGTGTTGTTGAGTAAAAATAGGGGTGACAATTTCAGTCCATATAAGTGAAATGAAACCATTTTGCTCATATTAAATTAAATGGATTACTCATATTTTCTTAAATAGGTTAATATGACCTTCAACCTATTTAAGCTCACACAAATATGGACAAAATGAGTGAACATGAGAATCCATATTCAGCCCATATAAGTGAGAAATGAAATCATTTTTTTTTCATTTTTGGAAAATAAAAAAATTTAAGAGTCAGTTGGTGGAAGAAGGTGGGGGGGGGGGGGAGTGGAGGGGGTGAATTTTTTACTTTTTTGAAAAAGCGAATTTTTTCATATTTGAAAAACAAAAATTTTCAGGGGTAGGTTGGTGGAGAGGGGCTGCCGAGGGGTGAGGTGTGCCGCTGGAGGGGGTAGACTTTTTTTTCTTTTTTTTTGAAAGAATATATTTTATTTTTTTTTGTATTTGAAAAACAAAAAAAATTTATTTTGAAAATAATTTTTATTTGGTGGAAGGTCGGGGAGGGGTGCCCCGGAGAGGGGGTAAATTTTTATTTTTTTTAAAAATAATTTTTTTTATTTTTGAAAAATCGAAATTTTTAGGGGTAGGTTGGTAGAGGGTGTGTGTGTCCGGGAGAGGGGGTAAATATTTTATTTTTTTTAGGGGTAGATTGGTGAAAGGTCGGGGGGAGGGGGTGCGAGGGATGTGCCTGCAGAGAGGGTTAATTTTTTATTCTTTTTGAAAAACAAATTTATTTAAATGGATTTGAACCACTTTGCCCGAACCATATTTGATGGTCCATATTATATTTGGATATATTGTAATCCAAACCATTTTTTCTTGATCCATATTCAACCATCCAAATCCGAGCGATCCCTGTAAAAATATGATATGCATCCAAAAGCTTCTATAATTCTTTGTTACATAGAGCATCTATAAAAGGAAAAAGTAGGTGTCCAGATTCTTGGACATTATTGACACCCTAAATATAGTATAATTAAGGATGTTACTATTTATTAGTTGAATGACCCAAAATTTGATGTGTGAATCTTTAAGTATAGTATCCAAAATGATGGACATATAGAAGCTAAATAAGAAATACTAGTAAGTTAATGCAGATCTTACAGTAGAATGTAGAAAAGAATTTATTGATTAATGTGAATTAGATTATAATTGAACTAGGAAATGAATTTATGATTCAGGTTAAAGTAATGGCTCGTTTGCGATCCTTAAAAGGAACCATTTTGTGCTTATAAAGCTATGAATATAGTTTCGATGTAGGAATGGATAGGTAGTAATAACATATGGATGAATGCATTATACGCGTATAGCTTCTCGTGGTTAGTTGAATAGTATGGTGTAAGAATTCAGGGTACTCTGTAGTTTAAACAGGTCTTAATAGTTCATGGACTGGTTTTTTGCAGTTGAAGGAAATGGATCTAGAGGAAATTAATATTCATGATCATGGAGATAAAGTAGTTGATGAGAATCATAAGTCTAAAGTTAAGTGCAAGTACTGTGCTAAAACAGTTATTGGCTTTTATAGGCTTAAGTTCCACTTAGCAGGGATTCGTGGTAATGTCACTCCTTGCTCGGAGGTTCCTCCGCTTGTGAAACAAGCATTTTATGCTCAGATTATGGGGAAGAAGAGTTGTCAGTCCTCACAAGAGATATCGAAATCTATAGGGAGATTTTTTTATGAATCAGGACTTGACTTTGATGCTATCAGATTACCTAGCTTCCAAATGATGTTTAAAGCCACTCTTAGTCCAGGGCAGACAGTAAAATTCCCGAGTTGTCAGGATTTGAAAGGTTGGATCCTTCAGGATGCAGTGCACGAGATGCAACTGTATGTGACGGAAATCAGAAGTTCATGGCCAAGAACAGGATGCAGCATCTTGTTAGATGGATGGATAGACTCAAATGGTCGAAATCTGATTAATATCCTAGTGTACTGCCCGAGGGGTACTATTTATCTTCGATCATCAGATATAACATCTTTCTATGAAAATCCTGATGCCATGCTAGTGTTTCTCGAGGAGATTCTGGAGGAAGTTGGAGTTGAAAACGTCGTGCAAATTATTGCACACTCCACATCTCATTGGATGATTGCAGCAGGCGAAAAACTGATGGACAGTTGCAAAACTGTGTTCTTTAGCATCGATGCATCACGCTGTATGGGACTGATGTTACAGAACGTAACACAGATAGACTGGATAGGACAAGCTTTGCAAAAGGCGAAAATGTTGATTCAATTCATCTACAGCCACACCACGACCATGAAGCTTCTAAGTGATGTTTTCCCTGGGGTCGAGCTTGTAAAGTCTTCCAAAGTTAAGGCAATTGTGCCTTTTTTGACTCTGCAAAACATCGTATCACAGAAAGACGTGTTAATTAGGATGTTTCAGTCGTCTGCTTGGGGGACCTCACAGCTGGCTTCTACGAGTGAGGGGAAGAGAATAGCTGAAATGATTGAAGATGCATCAGTTTGGAGTAATTTTGGGATGGCTGCAAGAGTAACTATTCCGCTTGTGGAAGTTATTAAGTATCTGAATGGTACTAATAAGCCACAAGCTGGTTTTATATCTAACAGACTTTATCAAGCTAAAGAAATCATCAAGATGGAATTCAGGAGCAGACAACTGTGGCGCCATGAAGAAACGTGGAACAAGATAGAAGAGACGTGGAAGAAATATCTCCACAGTGATCTCCATGGCGCGGGTTACTATTTGAACCCGTGTTATTTCTACTCAAGTGATTGGTTAGGTACTGCGGAGATCACTTGTGGTCTTTGTAAGACTATTGATCGAATAGCAGGTCATATAAAGGGATTGATCACACAACAAATTAAAGAATTTGATTTTGATGGTTCCAGAGAGATACTACCAGATATTTCACCAGGTTGGTACTAAAACTTTTAATGTATTTTACTGTTTTTTTTTTTGATAATGATTATATGTTATGTTTGCAGCACAATGGTGGTTGAAGTATGAAGTTGAGTATCCAGAGCTTGAAAGGTTTGCTGTTCGGATCCTTAGTCAGACGTGTGATGGTGCGTCACATTACAGGCTGAAAAGGAGGTTGGTCGAGACGTTACATACAAAAGGGAGGAGTGAGATAGAGCAGCAGAGGCTGAAGGACTTGGTATTTGTACATTGTAATCTGCAATTGCAGGGATTTGATCCAGAAGGAGAAAATGATATTGCAGAGGACGTTGTTGACGCGATGGATGAGTGGATACTCGGAGATAGGGCAAATGTGGTGTCTGAAAACTCGCAATGTACATGGATGGACATGGAATTGGGAAGCTACAAACGAAAGAGAGAAGTCAAGAATGTGAAGGAGGAACCAGAAGAATAGACAATTTTATTTACTTTGCAGTTCAATACAACTAGATTCTAAATTTAGTTTTCATGTTGAACTAATTAGGATATGTTTTTAATTATCTCTGCTCCTTGAATGGAAGGATTGTTATATCAAATTGTTAAATTATATATCATGGTGTAAACATATCTTCATTTCAATATTTCCTTCTTACTAGTTTACTACTAATTGAAAGTATTCCATTACAAGTGGCTATCTGACTTTTATAGGCAGCCAAGATGTAGTTGAATTAGCTTGAAATTTTTGTGTCATTGTCTAGGTGGAAGTTCATTTTTCGTATATCAATATGATGAAAAAATATATTATATAATATTAGTTAAAGTTCTTATAGTATGAGTGAAAACATCATGTGTTTTTTCTTTCATTTAAATTCTCTTTATTAAGTCATATCAAATTCCGAGTGACTTGAACCTGATCATATGATGTAAGTTTCCCCTAATTTATTTGATGAAGTAAAAAGAGAGAAATTTTCGTATATAGTCACTATAATAAACTCAATTATGCTTTATAGCTATAGTTTATCGTTTCTCCATAGTTTTTCTTTTGCTTCTCCTTTTAACCTATAAATTTTTTTATACCCTACAAACATCAAAGTAAGAATTTTTATATCATTCTTCCTAATTCACTCTTACTCATTATTATAATTCATATTCTTTTTTATATAGTTATTTAGACTTAATATAAATTACCTTAAACACTAAATTTTTAAATAATATAAATTATATATATATATATAAAGCTATATAAAATCGAACTAAAATCAATAACTTAAATTAAAAATAAAAAAATTATTACTTTATTGATATTGGTTATTGATTTGACGATTTTAATTCTTGTTTTGATTCTTTTATTATCGAATTACTGATTCTTAATAATTTGAAGATAAATTTCAACAAAAATAATTTTTTTTATTTATACCATTCGATATATAAATAAAAAAAAATAGGTAAAGGCACCAGTATTTTCATTTTGTGAGTAAATAACGTCAGAGTGTATTAATTGGAAGTTTGCAGTAAGCTTTTTTGTATTTCTCTTTGTGTTTTTGTCATTTTGTTTTATACACTTTTTCTCTTCCGTTACTCCTATCAGAAAATGCCAATCCATTTTCCAATGAAACAGAGAGACAAAATTGTATAGAGAGAGAAAGTAACAGATGGCAGTAGAGTGAGAAATGGCACTATTTCTTGATTTCTCCCTACCCCTTTTCTCGTTTCATACTTGTTAGCTTTCCCTTTTCTTCTCTTATCAAATTGAAATCAGCAACCAAAACTGATACTATTTCTCTACTTCTTCATACTGGTAAAATTGCATTAACCCCTTTTTTTTTGTTGTTTCTTAAAGTTGTGATCTTTTTAGCTTTTCTTTAATTATTTGCTGCTGATTTTGTTTGTTGCATTAACCCCATTCTTTGATGTTTCTTAAAGTTGTGATCTTTTTAGCTTTTCTTTGATCATTTGCTGCTGATTTTGTTTGTTGTATTAACCCCATTCTTTGATGTTTCTTGAAGTTGTGATCTTTTTAGCTTTTCTTTGATTATTTGCTGCAGATTTTGCTCTAATTGAAGTTGTGATCATTTTAGCTTTTTCTATATTATTATTATTTGCTTCTCATTTTGCTCTGTATGTGTTTCAAACTGAGCAAAATCAGTTGCATGAGTAGATTACTTGTTACTCCTTATTTTTTTTCTCAAGAATTTTTAATATTGTTGGCTATCAACTTTTCTTCTTGTTTTGATTTTTTTTTAATTTTTTTTACCCTCAGCTCCCACCTTTTAAATTGACTTTCGAAAAGCACAGCATAACAAATAATTAAAGAGGTCAGAGTGATTAATTTTTTTCCATTTATTGTTGTTTCTACCCTTTTTACTTCCTTTTTTTCTATAAAAATGAGTTATTGTGTTTGGTTTCAAAGGGAAGGTTTTTACCCCTATTTTGGTATTGTATTTTATACTTTTGGATAAATGAGTGAAAATAATGTTGTTTCCTCCTTGAATTGTTTGTGGATGGTCTCTCTCAATAGCATTTAGATGGTTATAGAAATGCATTAAAAGGCTGTGTTACTTATAAGAAGTATTAATGATGATACTTTAACTTTGTGCTATATTGAACATGAAAGAAATTGGTATGGGGAGCTAGGAGTGGTCAAATAATCAAGATGGAAAGTATGGCTAGTGTTTTTTCTTCTGTCTCTACTAAGATTTGAACCATGATGAACTTCCGTGGTGGTGATCGTCTTCATTGAAACCGCTTGAACATACCCTTTGATGCCTATAATGCATATTTTTCCCCATTTTGGATATAGCTCACATCAAGATTGTTTAAGACTTAAGAGTTAGATATACTTGCCTCTTGCTTGTTTATCTTTTTGACCTTGTTCTAATATGTTAAATGCTTCTTGTACCAAGGGTGTGGCTTAGTGGGTCGACAACTGTAAGGTCTCATGTACAAATCCTAGCAGAGGAAAGGTAAATAACACACTAGACATTGTTTTTTGGTATGTTCTGATATTGTATCCTTCTAAAATGTAGTGACTACGTCAAAATTTCCTCTTTTGCTAATTTAATGTTGTTAGGAAAACTATTTTTCAATATAGATGAAGATTCGACTAAGCCGTTATAAAATCTTGCTTGGGTATTATTAATGACATACCATATAGTTCTTTGTGTTGTATATTTGATGATGCCATGCTTCAGATAAAATTGTCACTTGCATTTTTCATTACGATCATGATTGAATATTTGTTCTGTTTTCTGCCCTGTTTATTTGGTTATTGTTTAACTGATATCAATGATCTTATAACTTGACACGTTTTTGGAATGAAAGTTATGGGTGATCTCCAGTTTAAATAGGTCTCAACAACTCATGGATTGTAGTTTTGCAGTTGAAGATCAAATGACTAGAGATAAAATTGATATTCGTCAACATGGTGTGCCAGTTGATCAGAAGAAGTTAAAAGTTAAGTGCAACTATTGTGGTAAAGTTGTTTCTGGTTTTAGTCGGCTTAAACAACACTTAGGAGGCATTCGTGGAGATGTAACTCCTTGCTTGAAGACTCCTATACTTGTGAAAGAAGCACTTGAAGCTGAGATACTTAATAAGAAAAATGAAAATTTAATCAAGAAAGTTGGGCAACTTCAGCACCCAAGCCTTCCTTTGAAAAGGAATTGGTGCCCTCGAGATGGTGAACCAAATAAGACTTCTGAAAGTGTAAATAAAAAACATAATGGTGTGAATTCAAATGTAGCTGGTACTTCTGTTGTAGATTCATCCTCACAAGAGATCTCAAAATCTATAGGGAGATTTTTTTATGAAGCAGGAATTGACTTTGATGCTATCAGGTTACCTAGCTTTCAAAGGATGTTAAAAGCCACCCTTAGTCCTGGGAAGACAATAAAATTCCCTAGTTGTCAGGAGTTGAAAGGGTGGATTCTTCAGGATGCAGTGAAAGAGATGCAACAGTATGTAACGGAAATTAGAAAGTCGTGGGCAAGCACCGGATGCAGCATCTTGCTAGATGGATGGATAGATTCAAAAGGTCGAAATCTGATTAATATCCTAGTGTACTGTCCGAGGGGCACCATTTATCTTCGATCATCAGATATTTCATCTTTCAATGGGAATGTTGATGCCATGCTAGTATTCTTTGAGGAAGTTCTTGAGGAAGTTGGAGTTGAAACTGTGGTCCAAATAGTTGGATACTCAACGTCTGCCTGCATGATGGAAGCAGGCAAGAGACTAATGGAAAAATGTAAGACAGTTTTTTGGACAGTAGATGTTTCTCATTGCATGGAACTTATGTTACAGAAGTTCACGAAGATGAACCCGATACAAGAAGCTTTGGAGAAGGCAAAGACACTCACACAATTTATTTACAACCATGCTACTGCCCTGAAGCTTCTAAGAGATGCGTGTCCTGATGAGCTTGTAAAGTCTTCAAAGATCAGGTCAATTGTGCCCTTTTTGACTCTTGAAAACATTGTCTCACAGAAAGACTGCTTAATTAGTATGTTTCAGTCTTCTGATTGGCATACCTCAATCATGGCTTCTACGAATGAGGGTAAACGAATATCAGAAATGGTTAAAAATGAATCATTTTGGAGTGAGGCTTTGATGGCTGTAAAAGCAACCATTCCCCTGGTGAAAGTTATAAAGTTACTCAATGGCACTAATAAGCCACAAATTGGTTTTATATATGACACACTAGATCAAATTAAAGTGACCATCAAAAAGGAGTTCCAAGGCAAGGAATCCCTTTATGCAAAATTCTGGGCAGCCATTGATGACATATGGAATGGATATCTCCACAGTCATCTTCATGCTGCGGGTTACTTTTTGAACCCAATCTATTTTTACTCGAGCGATTTCTATGCTGATGCGGAAGTTACCTCAGGTCTTTGTTGTTGTGTTGTTCGCATGACAGAAGATCGCCATATACAGGATTTGATCGCACTGCAAATTGATGAGTATCGCAAGGGGAGGAGCACGTTTCATTTTGGAAGTTTCAAAGAAAAACTAATAAATATTTCCCCAGGTGGTATGATTTATACATTTCCTACTATTTTTAGATCATCTTGACATATAATTCATACGTTAACCTGTAAGTTATGTTTGCAGCACTTTGGTGGTCACAATATGGAGTTCAGTATCCCGAAATTCAAAGGTTTGCTTTTCGGCTCCTTAGTCAGACATGCAATGGTGCTTCACATTATAGGCTGAAAAGGAGCTTGGTCGAGACATTACATACAGAAGGTATGAATCCGATAGAGAAGCAGAGGCTGCAAGACTTGGTATTTGTCCATTGTAATTTGCAATTACAAGCTTTTGATCCAGATGGAAGCAATGACAATACAGACTATGTTGTTGACCCCATGGATGAGTGGATAGTCAGAAAAGAGCCCAATTTGGTGCATGAAAACACTCAACTTACATGGATGGACTTGGAACTTGCAAGCAGAAATGGAAAGGTAAAAGATGTTATCTATGTTAAGGATGAAGCGGACGAGGACGAACCTAAATATATATAGGGTAGCAAATGTGTAATGGTAATTAGTCATTCTAAAGTAGTGTTATGAACAAAGTAATTTGTGTACAAGAACTCATCAAGCCTAAAGTAATTATCCTCTGCTGCTTTTTTTTTTTGTATTGTGATTCTGCTCAAATGAAAACTTAAAGGAAGTATTAGCTTGAAGATATTTTGAACTTTATATTAATTTGTTTCTCTTTGTACATTAGAAAGTTGTGTGCTGTAATAATGGAAATTAATATTTGCAATTGAATGTTTTGATGGAAATGTTACCTTATTGAATGTTTGAATAAACAGAACAGTGAGATGTTTTGCCTACACATAATTTGAACTTTAGAACTAAAATTTTAAACTGATGGAATGAGATTTTTTAACCAAAAGGAGTTCGAATTACAAAAACATCTTCTTATCAGTCAAATCAAAAGATAATATGAGAGGAAAAATTGTTTCTTCTGCATTTTCCAGTGAAATGCAAAAGACAAAGTTGTACTCCTATGAAATTGGCAGTAGAAATAAAGGTGCACAGACCCTTTTTCAGAGTGATATAGCAGGGTATGTACTATTACCAAAAATCGAATCAACTGATAAACTGAACCGAAAAAAAGTTAATGGATTGTTGTTGTTCGGTATCCGATTTTACTAATAAGATAGTGATAATTTACTATCTTACCCTCTCTAATAATTATATATTAATAATTTAATATATAACTAGACACGATAACTATATCCAATTAATACTCTATCTACTTCACACCAGGCCGCTTTACTAGTTTTTATTGTTTACTAAAAACTAATGTAAGGATTCACAATTGTAGCTTTTGATTGTAGTTTTAGTTTTAGTCTTGTTGGACTATTTGATTTTAGTTTTAGTTAATAATTGTAAGTTGTAGCATTTGCAAGTTTGTAAAGATCCGTAATTTGATTAACATCAAAAATCTCATACTATGTTTTGGCAGTGACATGTAATTATAACCTTCACACTATATTTAGATAAGTAAGAAGTCATATAATATTTTTACGGATATTTTCTTATTGGTAAACCGAAAACCGATAAATAATATCTTATTGATTTGTTATCGAATTAGTTTATTTAAAAACCGAAAATTGATAAACCGCACCGAAAGACATAAAACCGAATCGAACCGAACCCCTTTTTCGCTCAGGATCATTACTGGTTCTTACTGCCTCTCTTGAAAATCAACAAAAATGACTCTACTATGGACCTATGGTATGACCCTTTTTCCTTCATCTTGTTAAATTTTATGTCATTATTTGCTTGTGATTTTGTTTATTTTTGTTCATGAACTACTATGCTCTTTTATCTGCTTTCATTTCAGACTGTAGAAGACTTCTCTTTTTACTTGCTCTTTGTAGATTTTCACTAGTAGAATACACTTCTCTTTTTTTTTTTTCACAACTATTGAATATCAAAGCTACCCCTTTTTATTCAAGAATGAGTTTTAAGTTGCAGTAACAGGAGGAACAAGACAGTTTGTTTATGTGGTTTGATAGTGTGTTTACTCATTTGATGCAAAAATATTAGGTAATATATTCAATTGCATATTATTAGTTGGTATCTGAGCATATGGGAGGTAGTAGTGCTCCATGAAATTAATCGAGCTGTGTGCAAAACTAACCAGACACCACGATTATCAAAACAAAATAGTAACATTGGAGGATCTCTATGGGAAATGCAGTAGAAAATACAAGTGTTTAGTTCGTTTGATAAAGAATGTCTCTTTTGTTTGTCAACCCTAAAATATTTAATTTTCCATCTAGCATGTTTAAGATCACGAGATTAAAGGAAATTTTGGCACGTTCCACATATTAAGTATCACAAGATTCAAAAGTTTTTCTTTTACTTCCACGGATGTTGTTTCAAGTCAAAACCAGACAAGTATGTTGGCTCGGAAGGAGCAATAAGAATAGAACTTTGTCACATTAGCCTTATTTTTGCTATTCACGGAGAACAGACTCTGGTTTTTGTTAGTCACTAACTGAAATGAAGGAATGGAATTTATGCATGATCTTGTTTCTCAATCTTTAAGATGGTTTAACAACTCATGAATCATTGTTTTGCAGTTGAAGAACAGTCAATATAAATGCGGAAAATGGCTCAAGATAAAGTTGATGTTCATCAACATGGTGTGGCATTAGATCAAAAGAAAAGGAACTTGTGCCCCCGAGATGGTGATGTCACTCAGAGTTCTGAAAGTGCAAATAAAAAGCATAACAGAACGAATTCAAAAGTAGCTGGTACTTGTGTGGTAGATTCATCCTCACAAGAGATTTCGAAATCCATAGGGAGATTTTTTTATGAAGCAGGAATAGACTTTGATGCTATCAGGTCACCTAGCTTCCAAAGGATGGTAATAGCCACCCTTAGTCTTGGGCAGACAATAAAATTCCCTAGTTGTCAGGAGTTGAAAGGGTGGATCCTTCAGGATGCAGTGAAAGAGATGCAACAGTATGTAACGGAAATCAGAGATTCATGGACAAGCACGGGGTGTAGTATCTTGCTAGATGGATGGATAGATTTAAACAATCGAAATCTGATTAATATCCTAGTGTACTGCCCGAGGGGTACCATTTATCTTCGATCATCAGATATTTCATCTTTCAATGGGAATGTTGGTGCCATGCTATTATTTCTCGAGGAGATTCTGGAGGAAGTTGGAGTTGAAACTGTGGTCCAAATTGTTACATACTCGACAGCTGCCTGCATGATGGAAGCAGGCAAGAAACTAATGGAAAAACATAGGACAGTTTTTTGGGCAGTAGATGCTTATCATTGCATGGAACTTATGTTACAGAAGTTCACGAAGATAGACCCAATACATGAAGTTATGGAGAAGGCAAAAACACTCACACAATTTATTTACAGCCATGCTACTGTCCTGAAGCTTCTCAGAGATGCTTGTCCTGATGAGCTCGTAAAGTCTTCAAAAATAAGGTTTATTGTGCCCTTTTTGACTCTGGAGAACATTGTATCACAGAAGAAATGCTTAATTAGGATGTTTCAATCTTCTGATTGGCATAGCTCAGTCTTGGCTTCTACAATTGAGGGTAAACGAATGTCAGAAATGGTTGAGGATCGATCCTTTTGGACCGAGGGTTTGATGGCTGTGAAGGCAACCATTCCCCTGGTAGAAGTTATAAAATTGCTAGACTGTACTAATAAGCCACAAGTTGGTTTTATATATGATACACTTGATCAAGCTAAAGAGACAATCAAAAAGGAATTCAGACACAAAAGATCCCATTATGCAAGATTCTGGAAAGCCATAGATGACATATGGGATGAATACTTCCACAGTCATCTACATGCTGTGGGTTACTTTTTGAACCCAACCCTTTTTTACTCGAGCAATTTCTACACTGATGTGGAAGTTACTTGTGGTCTTTGTTGTTGTGTTGTTCGCATGACAGAAGATCGCCATATACAGCATTTGATCACACAGCAAATTGATGAGTATCGCAAGGGGAGGGGCACGTTTCATTTTGGAAGTTTCAAAGATAAACTATCAAATATATCCCCAGGTGGTATCATTTATACATTTTCTGCTATTTTGATCATGTTGACTTATAATTCATATATTAACCTGTATGTTATGGTTGCAGCACTTTGGTGGTCACAATATGGAGGTCAGTGTCCTGAACTGCAAAGGTTTGCTGTTCGAATACTTAGTCAGACATGCAATGGTGCTTCACATTATAGGCTGAAAAGGAACTTGGTCGAGACATTACTTACAGAAGGGATGAACCTGATAGAGAAGCAGAGGCTGCAGGACTTGGTATTTGTCCATTGTAATTTGCAATTACAAGCTTTCGATCCAGATGGAAGCAATGACGATACAGATAATGTTGTTGACCCCATGGATGAGTGGATAGTTGGAAAAGGGCCTAATGTGATGTCTGTAAACACTGAATTGACATGGATGGACTTAGAATTGGGAAGCAGAAATGGCAAAGGGAAATATTGTGTTGAAGGACCTATAATTCATGTAAAGAAGGAAGAGGAAGATAATTGGTGATAGAATAACAAATGTAATGTGAAGTGGCAATTAAGTCTCTCTATGTATGAGTTATTTCCAGTTTGTGATAGTTGTTAATACCATGACATTTTGAATCATTGTGATTGATGTTGACATATTTGGTCTCAATTCATATTTGTTTTCTCATATACTCATCCTTTTGATTTCCAGATATGTCGATGAAAAATCATGGAGTCGATGAGATATATATCATGAAGCAGAATACACAAACAGTGCAATACATAACCATAGGGAAGTCTCAAAATACTTGATTATGTATCTTACACAACTGACACTAGTCGTGTGAGGTTTCTTTTTGCCTCACAAAAGAGTGGACCTAAAATTTTCAGAAGTCCTTCTGGCTCACTGTATCCTTACATTATGGATAACAAGTTAACCAAATCATCATGAACAATAGCAGTTCAGCCACAAGTGATAAGCACAGAGTTCATTAGATCAAACAGAAATCGACAACATTCTGAAACTTCTGGGGAACTGAAAAATGCATTGTATAATATAAATCTCATATTATTGAAGACAACAATGTTTACTTAAAGGGTAATCCCAGTAGACCAACAAATACCTTAGAAAGCCAAGTATATTCCTAATTTAGGATCATGGTATACCATTAAACTGCAATAGTTTTCTTCAAATAAATGAAAGCTGGATATCAAAAAAACAATTCTCAGATATCGTATAAGACCTAAAGTACTCTAAATTTCCACCGAATGCAATGTTCAATGCTCTAGCAACAGCTAGACGTTCAAAGAGTATTATGCCTTGACTTTCTTGTATTGCTTTATCTCCTTAATTATTCCATCGGTAAGCATGCCAACGTCGTTGTTCTTCCCAAAAAACTTCACAAATTCCATCTTAGGATCCATAAGATACCTGCAAATTGAATCATCAACTTCATCAAATTTCCATGCTATAGTAACATCCACATACTCTCTTTTGAAAGTAGAGCCATTGATAATCCAAAACCTTTTGTTAAAAATAAATATAGACCCTTTGAAGAGATGTCATAAGATTTCAAGTTCTAGAAGACAAAATATCTCAAAGAATCTCTTTAGGCTGGAACTTCACATCAAGATGGATCATAACAATATTTCGCATGAAACCCTTGATATGGTAAAAGCCTCAAGCATTTGGACATGATTTGGTTGAAATTTGAAGAAATGATTAATTGAAGTCTAAGATGAAAGAGTAAATGGATTTGCTGTTGTTTGGACATGGATAAAAAGTTAAAAAGTTCCACGAGAAAAAATTGAAGTGCTCCTACAACTCTACTTTTCAAACAAAGAACCAAATTGATAAACAAATACTTACATGAAATTATCTTCAAATATTCTAAATCGTAGTCGTGGTCAAAAGGTGATTTGTCCATTGATTTATCAACTAAGTGGGCTAAGGAGACAGTTTCTGCCAGTAAACAGAAATACAAACTACTCCCTCCAGTCCATATTACATGGTGTTTTTATATCTTACATTTAGTCCAAAAATGAATCTTTTACATAATCAAGAAGATATCAATTATTTTTTACCAAATCTACCCTTATCTTAAAGGGTATGTCAAAGCTAACACCTCTTTGAGCTCACTCGCCAGCTACCACTTCCAACTTCAACCATATTTCCACTCCATTCCACATATAAGTTACTTCTTTATTTAGTGGTCTCCATCAGGAAATATCCAACTCTATAAGACTTTGATCACACAGATAGGTCCTAAAGCAGGCATACTTTTGAAGTGATCAAATGGAAACTGAAGGCTACAACCACTATAAGTAGTGCTTTCCAGATGGAAGGCTAATGAAAATTCTTACCACTGTAATAAAATTATTTTCTTATGCTTACTGTTTATGGTATTACCGGTATACATGTATAAATCTGAATGATCCATAAATATGTGAATGACGTCATCTAAAGCACCATATTATATATCATTAAAGGTGTTTGAAATTTAAAAGACTATGTATGCAGGATATACGACCACTTTGCAGAAATATTAGAGGTGTTCCCGTGTTGATACAGGTTATAGATATTGAACTTGCAAGGCAATCAGAACTGACAAGTGCAATCATATTAGAATAAGAAGGACAACAAAAACATACATGACTATTGAGTGATCAACAAGGTAGTCTGAGCCTTCTTCTTCTGTCTTCATATAGTAAACCCGATAAGCACGTGCTGTTTTCTTTATTTCTTCTGGGCTACCAGTGAGGCCAATCAAGTTTGGGTGGAACTCTAAACATTGAGTGCAAAATTGTCAGTTGCAACATTACAAGTATATCTAATTAATGCACAATACATAATCAGTTCTATCTGAAACACACCTTTAACATATTCGTCTACTTGCTCAACCGTATCTCTTTCAGGATCCACTGAGATAAATACAGGTACTATTTCAATTCCAGACGTCTCCTCTGCATATTGAATAAATTATAAATTAGAAGATTAATCCATCTCTGTATGCTTAAATTAAAAGGAAAAAGACATCATATGAAAGCCAAAGCTTATAACTTGTGGGCTTTTCTCTCACAACAAAACTGGAATCATACAGTCAGTAGCTGCCTTATTGTAGTCTGCTACAACACTCAGTGTTTTGGACGGCGAGAGGCGACAAAAGGCGACAAGGGCCTGCCTCGCCACGCGGCGAGGCGAGCAGCGAGGCGCTTGCCTTTTCGAATTAAGGCGCCAATTAATACCAAAGATTAAAAATATTTAATTGCATATATAAATATCCAAAATCTTAATAGGAATAACACATATTAGCAAATATTCAATTCAAAAACCAATAGTAGTAAAACTTTAAAGACCAAATAATTCAAAATACAATACTAAAACTTTAAATGTCTATTCTTATTCAAAACTATCCGACTCTTGAAGAAAAGAACTCAAGAAGAACTGAAAAGATCAAAAGAAGAAGTAAAAAAAGAGGTATACCTCAGGTCCTCAGTGCAGCAACAACTCGAAGATGATGGAGAACAAGAGAAGAGATGCGACCGGCAAATTTTGACAATAGAAGAGATCGCGAAGGGAAGAGGAGTCGGGGCGAAGAGATTGCGAGGGGAAGAGGAGTCGGGCAGCAGCAAATTTTGAAAATAAACAAAAAGAACCCTAATTTTGATTAATATTGTTAAGTCAAATCTTTTTAAAAAATTTAAATAAAAAAGGTGGCGCCATTTTTTTCGCCATTAGCTCGCCATACCTCGCCATGGGTCGCCTTTTTTGGGTCGCCTCGCATCAGTGTGGAATGGCGAGAAGGGCTCGCCTCGCCTCGCCTTTGGCGATGAGGCGCTCGCCATTCACAACACTGACAACACTAGCTAACAACTTCTCCCCTTATGTAGCTGAACGATCAAATGTTCCCTTTAGGAGAACATTAAACCAGTTTGAACATTTTCATACACAAAATGGAGTGACAATTGAAGCACGCAAAAAGGATACTGTTAGAGTTTATGCACTTCATACTCTTAGTTGACATGATACTAATATGCACCATCAGTTTTTCTTCACTGATACAATCATTGACAATTGGAATGTCCTTTTAGTTCTGTTATTATTGCCTACATCTGACCAAACAAATTGGTAATCAAGTCTGGATTGGAACTTGGATAATTAGACATTAACTTGAAAGGCAAGAGGAAGGATAAATGTAAAATGGAATGAAAACTAATGTCAGATATTGACGAAATGATCAATCACAATACCCATGCAAAACTTCATCCATTTTTATGCACAGAACTATGATGACAAGGCTTACTAATTATATCAACTGCAGTAGCGAGTTTTTGTAGCTCATCCGGACATATATCTGGACAGTGAGTGAAACCAAAATATACAACTGTCCACTTGCCAAAGAAGTCTTTCTCAGTTACTGGTTTTCCATTATGGTCAATAAGACTAAACGGACCACCAATGGCTGCTTTTCCTACTGAAGGTCCTTGCTTTACGGAAGTTGAGGCATTGGTGATATCTGTAACAATAGGTAACAATCTTAATCAGCAAACTAGAATGAGAGGAACCAAGAGGCAAGGCAAGAATCATGTGGTAGCCTATGATCTTACAATCTTCAAAAATATCAGCACAAAAAACTTAAGGCTTCCTGAACAAAAGAAACAAAAGGGAAGAGTAATATATTGGTCCTTGACTTTATTATGTGTTCTTTCCTTTCAAGAGCACAAAATTTTAGTTGTGGATCAAAGAACAAGCAAAATAAGAGATTTTGCAGCAGAGGCCCTTATACACATGACAAATAGATAGATGCTAAATTATTACTCCAGAAGTGATGTGATTTTGTTATTTAAACTTATACTTGACAAAAGGAACAAGCAAAAGTTGACTTTTGAAATCCATTGTCAATTACTGACTCTACATTCCAACATATCTGTCTACACACACACACACAACCATTGTCGCACTTATACTTGGAGCGAGGCAGTACTATAACCAGAGACCTAAATGCATACATACGGATAGGTAACTAGCAGCCTAATCAGACACGTGCCATTATAAATACAAATTAAAATGTAAGAAATTATCATCCTCCACAGTGTTTCCAAACCCAAAGTCTAATGAGCCCATAAAAATCTACTGATAAGCTGTGTTTCACCGATGTTCCTACGTGATTAGCCTACCACAGTTCTTTTCCTAAAACTAATACAACTCACCATAGTAATCTACCTTCGATATGCCGTTTCTTTTCCCTGTCATAATAGACAACCAATCCTGCTCCAGTGCAAACAAGTAAAAAGAAGCTCATCCATGAAACAGGCTGCAACATCAAATATTACCTATCAATCACAGACTCTACGGAGCAACAGAAATAAAAAAAGCTTTGAGACCCTACTATAAACAGATGAAGTTGCATTTGCGTCCATACTATTATCCATTAAAAAAACTGCAGCTACCCAAAGCAGAACAGGAAAATAGAACTCGCAATCACACAAAATAAGCAAAAAGTCTGCAGTTTATATCTGACAATACCCTATTAATTCAGCAAATAACAACAGCTCTATATAATCAAAATATAACCTTTGCCAAAACATAACAAATAACATAGCCCAGATACAAGTGTTAAACTGCAGGTTTTCAACAAAACACTACCTTCAGACTGAATATGCATATATTTACTAATTTTGCATAAATTAGGAACTAAGTGATAAATTATTTCATTTTCTAAACTGAACAAGTAAAACGGAAGGGAGTATATGTTAGTGAATACAGAAAAGAACTTACACTACCCCGAATAGACTTTCCCTGTTTAGTCTTCTGAGAACCATCAGAGCTCTCACTGTTTCCAGAATTAGTTCCGGCAGAAGATCCACCTGAACCGGAATTCGATTGATTACTAGAACTCGAGGTGCACAGATACCTGTAAGAAATCAACCCATTTTCCAATCGATCCAAACGCATAGCCTGTAATCAAAGAAAAAGAAACCCATTAATCCGAAACTAGAAAAAAAGACAAACTTTATTAGAATGAAAAGAAAATTGAGTAGAAATCGAAGACTAACCAATGGAGAAAGGGGTAAAGATTTGGTGGTGGTGGGTGTATTTGAAAGACTCTGTAAGAGATGAAATGAAGGCTTTGTTGAACGGCATTTTTGGGAAGAAATTGAGAGATAGAGATAACGAATATATTGATTTCTTGATATTGATTTCGCCATTGATGTTTGTAGATGAAAGCTTTGTTTGAAAAGTACAAAGAAGTCAAAAACCCTACCAAAACCGCAGCTTTTGATTTTCTTGTGGTTATTTAAATATTAAAAGTAATTCGAAAATGTTTTTTTTTTCTATTTAATGTCCCATATTTACACTGAAATTCGAGTAAATTTGAGTTCATGTCAAAAAATCTTACGTCAAAATTTGGTAAAATATAGTATTATAGATGATGTATGAAGAGTAGAATATAACACGTCAAAATTGGTTTCAAAGAAAATCAAGCTACTATATTGTGAAATGTTATAATGAATCATTGTTATAATAAAATTTAGCAATCGTTATTTAGATGAGAAAGTATTGATTGTGATTCTGTTCTTTATTTATTCAATTGTAAAACTTTGATTAAGGACTCGTTTGATCATAAAAAATCATTACTTTCTATACAATTTGATGTGCTTGAGTTTCAACAACTTTGTAGGCAACTTTCATTTACTTTGCCATATTGATTCAATGTACTTTACAAGAAATTCATACAATTTTGCAAACAAAAAACAAAGTATGTTTTTTTCTAACATGAGAGTGTTTACATTCTTTTTTTCTTGTTCTCTCATTAGTGTTGTTTTTTGCTACAAATATGCATAAAGCATTCTATTCCAAGTATCTGGAACTCCAGGCAAACACCAATGTATACAATCTGCAAAATGTGAAGGCTCTGCTTTCTGTTTATCAGTCAACAATTTGCCTCCTAATTCACCGTAAACCGAAGCATGTCCATCAATTCTGTACTCAGATAATTGTGTTATGTTAAGAACAGTAACAGCAACTTTCATCCTTCCTATTACATCAACTACTGCCTTCATTAAATCTTTGTTTGAACCAACTCCCCAGTGTCCCTTCTTCATCACAGGTCTTGTCTCATTGAAACACCTCGTACCGTTCATATTCCCCCAATCTTCATTTCTGAATGCTCAAACAAGTTCGGTTAAAATAGTCAAATGAGAAAGCATTCGTAGTAGCAGGTAATGTGCATTAGAGACGTACCTTTGGTGCGTAGGTGACATAGTGGTAAAGAACACCTTTGTTTTATTAGTATCGATGGTTGAATCAATCCAATTTGCCCATGTCCTCAATGCTAGCTTGTAAGGAATAGGAGTATCGAATTCTTCATATCCCTCTTCGCCATTTGCAAACTCTCCCCATCTGCATTTTTTTTTTCGAGAAGTCATTTGAAAAAATGCAAGTAGAAGTTCTTTTGTTTCGACATTTTTTTGGGAAAATGAATTCATTTACTTACAATGCTTTGGCTTTAAGGCCACTCATCCACCAAACATAAGTATTGAAAACAAGGTAATCTACTCCTAACCACTGTTTGGCACGCTCGGTGATAGAATCCACTTTGATGATTCTCTGTTTTGAATCGGCTTTTATATGAATATCTGTGTTTGACTCAACCAAGAATGGTGCCCAGTAGAATTCAATGCTGGCATTGTATTCCTGAGGTATGTTCGAAATATTTAGCAAACAAAAATCTTCATGTTTGAGCAAATTCTTGAAAAAGGACAGATTTTTTTTGGACTTGATGATTGATTGATTACCTTAGCTTTAAAGACTGAATAAACCTGTCCTAGTTTCATAGACTTTTCGCCTTCTGGAATCACAGATTGAACCAAACACACAAAAGATTCCCACATATTTCTCTGTATTGAGTCTCCTACAAACATTATCCTCTTCCCTTGGAGTTTTCTAAGGGCAATCGTCGGATCAAACCTGCATTTCATTGTTAAGAATTTAGTTTAACGATGTTGTATCAATAATCGAGATAACAGATAGTGACAGTACTATGTATCTAATGACATTTTGATTAACTTGCCAACCTTGGCAAGATGCAGTCATCAGGCCGCCATTCCCAGTGAAGATAATCTGAATCGTCTCGTCCATTCTTAGTACAAGAATATTGTCTGTCAATATATGGACAAGTTCTATCTGTGTATAGTGGCTTAATCGTAGTATTAAACACCCATTTCCCGTTATTGAGGCTGCATTCCTCGGGATCAAACACGAACCTATCATCTGTTGGATTGTCTAGTGGACTGCTCTTCAACTCTCTAATAACACCTGTTAAGCCACATTTAGCATGACAACAAAAAATCTGATTGAAAAAAAATAAAGAAGCTGCAAGTGCACCTGTATGATGTTTTTTTAACTTTGCAGCATTTCGTCTCGGACAAGTTTTGATCCCAAAATGGAAACCAGAAGAAGAAGTAGTGATCCTTTCAGTGTACAATAAAACAATGAATGTTAGTGCACAGAAAATTCCTGTTATTACAGGCAAAGATAGCTTTCCTCTGGCATATTTTGCCCATCCCATGATGAAATAATGCTTAATGTAAGTTCACCAGAATGATGAAGACTGACATGAAATAAGTTTTTGGTGGCTTTTTGTTTTAATAGATTCTTGAGTAGGAGTAAAGTTTAAGTCATGTATGGTTGGACATTATAATTTATTAGAAAGTTGGCAAAAGGCTCCAAAATATTAACCTTTCTTATGAGACATGTGTGCAATAAAAATATTGTTGTAACTAATTCTAAGAAGCACCAAGAGTGACGTCAATGAAGTGGTTGAGAGTCATGTCCAGCGGAGACAAAAACACTAGGTGTTTCTTACCATCTGTCATAACCTTGTGAACAGAGTTACCTAATACTTGTTACTAGTGGAAGATATCTCGTGAAATTAATTGAAGTGCACGAACCACGAATATAAAAAAAGTCTATACACTGTTGTGTAACTTTCAGCAGAACTAATCAGTAGGTGAGTATAGGTTTTTTGCTGTAGTGATGTCAATTTTTAGCTGTCTTAAGTCTCAATCATTCTGGTCTCATAAGTCTATGACTTGCATTTACAGTCATTAGCATTAGTAGATGTTTCTGCTACAATAGGTTCAACTTATTTGTCAAACTGTTACTTCATTTGGGATCTGCTATACATGTATTTTTGTACATCCACAGACATAATTAGAGAAGTATTTCTGCTAATTTACTAGGAAATCTCTGATCAGCTTAGGCACATCTCAACTATTTCACTGCATATTTACAATCTCTCACCAGTTAGGTGATCAGGTAACATTGTCCACCAAAACTAATTCGGTTCTGAATTTTCACTTGAAAACAGAACTCAAATAGGTTCTTTTTGAATTGGCGAAACTAAGTGAGCTTCGCCACTGGTGACAACACTATTCAAGTAGGTTAAAGCAAACATTTTGTGTATATGTATACAGTTGAATATCCTTCGTGGTTAGGTTTATTGCAAGTTTGTAGTTTTTGAATTCTCGGATTAAAATTTCTTGCTCCGACACTGGTGACAACATTTTTTTAATGTATTATTAGGTAGATTATGCTTGCAAATGTGAACTAAGAGATTGAAGATCATTTAATAATGAAACAAGTGAGATGCACATATCAAACTAGTCATTTGTTAAAGACAAATAATTTAACAGATTAAAGTTGTCACTATTTCATAATATGAGAATCAGTCTAATCATTCCCATTGATTTGATCTTATATTAATAACTAGCCATTATAATCAAACACTCTTCCTTGCAATCATTCATCTCAACCAAATCCTCATGGCCCTGACCTAGACATAACAACCATAGCAAGATTGAACACCCTATTTTCCCATATATGCAAGGAACTGTAGCATCGATAACGAGGTTGGACCACCTAAATATAGTAAACAACAGATGATTACATATGCCAAAAGCCAAAGATTACGTGAAGAGAGTAATAATACAATAGATACGATGCTCTAAACTATCACTAAGCCAAAGACTACGAGTAAAGATTAATACTAAGTCAACATTCGACTACCAAATAACCTTCTACATATTGAGAATATTATTAACAAATTAAAAGTGTGTTCTCTCTATCAGTTTAAATTTTTAGATTGAGATAGTCAACACATACTTCAACTTCAACATCGTATCAGAGCAAGCAGAGATCCTAGAACTGAATTTAATTGCCGAGATGGTCACACACTTCAATACTACATTTATCGACGCACTGCTTACTCTCTTATACCCTCCTATCTGAAGTCATCTCCTCGAGAATTATGGTTAGGTGTTTCTTGAGAAAAGAAAACCATTGTTAGGTGATAAAATGAGGTTAGAATGTTTATTAATTAATCGTGATGATAATTATTTATGCATTGTGCATTTATATATATTTGTTTGATACAAACAATAAACTTTTTCTATTGGTGTTATGAGATCATATGAGTCCCTAATCAGCAACTAATTAAGGTAGGTCCAACATATGATGTTGCACCATCAACATTCAATATTATGAGGTTATATACATTTGCATTTTGCAGTGATGATATAAAAATATTTGCATAATTTAAGTCATTTATCAAATAATCTCATGCAAACCTCTGATGAACATTAAATAATATGTTAAATATGGTATGTAATATGTTATTACACCCTTTATAGAGGTAAGATCGATGTACATTTCACTTTGCTAATATTTTATTTGTAGGTAAGTGTATCGATTTGATTCGATATTTTCAAATCAAATCATTTGATTTATAAATCCCAATTTTTTGGTTTTTTTTTTCGCAACACAAACATGTAACAGCTAGTGCGCACTACATGATCCAATAACAATTGAAATAAGTATTGAAAATATTCCTGAATTTGACGCGAGTTGTTATATAGTTTCATCCTCGAACTATAGGCAACTTTAAAAACATCCTTTAACTTGAGTAATTGAACTTACAAATACACCCCAATAATCCACATGACATAGCAAGTGGGCTCAAATGTGCGACTCTTAATAAAAATCGAAAGAAGTGTTGAAAACATCTCAAATTTAAGGGTGTATTTCACTCATGATGCAATATCATCGGTGTATTTAAGTTTAATTAGTCAAGTAGACAATATTGTTAAGGTTATTAATAGTTCAAGAATGAAACTAATAGTTCACGCTAAATTTAAAGGTGTTTTCAGTACTTCTCATAACTTGCTATCACAACTCACAAGTCAAAATTCACTAACAACTTATAAAAAATAATATAACATAAAAACGTAACCTCCCTATATATGTATTTTTTTTCTAATGTGGAGTTTAGGTGTGATTTTAAAAAAATGGAAAGGAAATAATAAAATTTTTCAAAATCTTTTTTTGACTTAAGTTGTACAAATTCCAATATTGACTAAAGAAAAAAAGGATGAATTATCAATTTATTAATAATAATAAAGGAGGAACGTAACCTAATACAGTATCATTATCTTAGGGGAATCAATGAGTCATGATTTGCAAACATATTGATTAAAAAGAAGAAGAAAGATAGCACACCAACTAACTACATTATAATTTAAATGTTAGTTAGCATAATTATTATTTTTTGGGAGTAAATCACAGTTTATTATATTTAAATAAATGGAATTGATAATCTCTTTAGTCTTTAGGTTCAAGATTTTGGGATTTATGTTGTAATTATTCCTCTCAAGTTTTTATATTTTTAATTTTGATAATACTAAGAACACATAATTTCTTGTTATCCCATTTCCAATACTAAAGAAATAACATGTAGCCATGGAATACGGCCTTTTTCTTAATTTTTTTTTAAAAATTTAAAACACCTTAAATATCAACTATAATTATTTCTTTAACAAAAAAATAGACATTTATGTGAAATAATAACTTATTAATTAAAATTTAAAATCGATAGCAAATTCAAATCATATAATTGAAGTCCACAACATCAAGCATCTATCAACTATTCTTAAAAAATTCCAAAAATATTTTGTCTTCTGTGATTTATCATGATGTAATACATATATCGATGCAAAATGTTACATTCTTATGTGAATCGTGTTGTTGAGTAAAAATATGATATGTATTCAGAATCTTCCATAATTCTTTGTTACATAGAATATGTGTATAAGGAAAACGTAGGTGTCTAAATTCTAGAATATTATTAGCAGTATAATTAAGGATGTAATGATTTATTAGTAGAATGATCCAAAAATCGATGTGAGAATATGGAAGTATAGTATCCAAAATGGTGGGGATGATGAATTATCAAGGTGTAGTATTTATATATACTAGATCGGAGATGGACCGTGCTTAGTTATTATTAGTGACAACTTTTGTCGCCTCTAAAAGATATTAATGTCGCCACTAAAAGACATTATTAGTAATCTCGCTGCTAAAAGGTATATATGTCGCCACTAAAAGACATTATTAGAAACAACTTTTGTCGCCGCTACAAGGTATATATGTCGCCACTAAAAGAAACTATAGCAACAACTCATATCACCGCTAAAACGTATATATGTCGCCACTAAAGTCACTATTAACAACAATTTTTAAAGTCGCTACAAGATAGCAATGTCACCACTAAAAGATATTTGCCACTAAAAGAGACTATTAGCCACTAAAACAAAATTTTAGCAACGACGTTCATAATCTTTAGTGACGGTTTTAGTTGCTACTAAAGAGACTTTTAGCGACGGATTAAGTCGCCGCTAAAAGAGACATTTAGCGACAACATTCATAGCCTTTAGTGGCGGTTTTAGTCGCCTCTAAAACTACTTTTACGACGACATTCATAGCCTTAAGCAGCAGAATTAGTCGGTACTAAAAATACTTTTAGCGACGACATTCATAGCCTTTAGCGATGGTTTTAGTCGCTACTAAAAAAACTTTTAGCGACGACATTCATAGCCTTTAGCGGCAGAATTAGTCGCGACTAAAAAGACTTTTAGCGACAACATTCATAGCCTTTAGTGACGGTTTTAGTCGCGACTAAAAATACTTTTAGCGACGACATTCATAGCCTTTAGCGACGGTTTCAGTCGCCACTAAAAATACTTTTAGCGACGACATTCATAGCCTTTAGCGGCAAAATTAGTCGCGACTAAAAAAACTTTTAGCGACAACGTTCATAGTGACGGTTTATACTTTTAGCGACGACATTCATAGCCTTTAGCGGCAGAAATTATTCGCGACTAAAAATACTTTTAGCGACGACATTCATAGCCTTTAGCGGCAGAATTATTCGCGACTAAAAATACTTTTAGCGACGACATTCATAGCCTTTAGCGGCAGAATTATTCGCGACTAAAAATACTTTTAGCGACGACATTCATAGCCTTTAGCGACGGTTTAAGTCGTCACTAAAAAAACTTTTAGCGACAACATTCATAGCCTTTAGCGACGGTATTAGTCGCCACTAAATACTTTTACGACGACATTCATAGCCTTTAGCGACGGTTTTAGTCGCCACTAAAAAAACTTTTAGCGACGACATTCATAGCCTTTAGCGGCAGAATTAGTCGCGACTAAAAACACTTTTAGCGACAACGTTCATAGTGACGGTTTATGTCGCGACTAAAAATACTTTTAGCGACGACATTCATAGCCTTTAGCGACGGTTTTAGTCGTCACTAAAAATACTTTTAGCGACGACATTCATAGCCTTTAGCGACGGTTTTAGTCGCCACTAAAAACACTTTTAGCAACGACCTTCATAGCCTTTAGCGACGGTTTTAGTCGCCACTAAAAATACTTTTAGCGACGACATTCATAGCCTTTAGCGACAGTTTTAGTCGCCACTAAAAACACTTTTAGCGACGACATTCATAGCCTTTAGCGGCGGTTTTAGTCGCCATTAAAACCACTTTTAGCGAGACATTCATAACCTTTAGCGGCGAAATTAGTCGCGACTAAAAATACTTTTAGCGACGACATTCATAGCCTTTAGCGGCGGTTTTAGTCGCCACTTAAAATTACTTTAGTGCTGCGAAAAGGTATTTGTGTTGTAACACAATGAAACGATTAGCGACAACTTTTATCGCCGCTAAAAGTTATTATCAGTAGTATAAATGTAATTTTTGTCGCAACTGAAATCCTTGTTAGGCAACTTTTTTCATGCTAAAATTTATCATAGTCGCTACGAAATGTTTATTTTAGTGACAAATTTTATTGCCGTGAAAAAGTTTATTTAGTTGCCACTAAATAGATTTTAGTGACATTTTTTGTTGTCGCTTTAAGTAATTTTTTTCCATTTTAAGTTATTCTTTGTCGCCACTAGAAAGTATATATAGTAGCGACTAATTTTGTCGCCGTAAAAGATAATATTAATTGCTAGTTCCCTACCAAGCAGTGGGATGAGCCCTCATCCCACTGATTGGGAGGTAAGCATTGTAGCAACTTCGTTTACTGCCGAAGATATATTAGTCGCTATTAAAAGTCAGCATTCGTAGCAAATTTAGTCGTTGCTAAGAAAGTACTTTGTCACCTTGTAAATGCTTAGAATTATTACCAACTTTAGTCCCGCTAAAAAACATAAATCATTACTAAATAAAATTGTATTAATAACAACTCTTGTTGCCTTGAAAGTATATATTTATCGCCTACAAAGTTTGTATTTGTACCTTCTCTAGTCGCAATCATAATAATCGCCACTTAAAAAAAAGCAAAAATTAGAAGCAACGATTCATTTATTATACCAAGTTCACACATTTACTTTGACGTCTCTGAAAGAGCAAAATTGACTTGATGAGTGCAAATGAAAAAATCGAAACAAGAAAAATAATTATCTCTTTCTTGACCTTCTAATTAAAGTTAAAAGAATATGTTTTTTACTATGGAGTAAATAAATAATCACCATAAAGCATCAAGACTAAGCCGAGCGTTATCGATACTTTGCCATATTGGGCTTCATTTATGGGCTAAAATGACTCAAAATAGCCCAACTTGTTGAGATTTTAATTCATCCAAATTCAGTCCACAATTTCTTCTTCTTCTTCATCTTCTCTTCCATGGCGACCTTCAACATCTCATTTCTCACACAACCTGCCATTTTCTCTTCCCAGAATACCCCTTCTTTCTCTTCATATTCACTTCCCAAAACCTCCTTTCGCTTCCCTTCCATTACTCTCCGTCCCAAAACCAGAACCACCACTCGCCACCATGCGAGCATCGTTGTTGCTGCTCTGAAAAAGCTTTCTGAAACAGACCCTTTAACCGTGCCTCTGCAGTCTGATGAAATCGCTGGAAGCTTCCCGAAGGAATCTGGTGTATATGCGGTGTATGATACTAATGGTGATCTCCAATTTGTTGGCATATCACGCAACATCGCCGCCAGTGTTATTTCCCATAAGAATTCCGTACCTCAGCTCTGCTCTTCCGTTAAGGTAAACAACTTTGATTACCGACATTTGTAATCCCTTTTTAAATTCTTACTATTGTGAAAACTGTTTATTTATTCGACAAGGATGATTCATAGAGCTGACCCAATTAATTGAGATTAATGCGTAGTTGATTGATTGATTGATCCTGTGTGAAATGGTTGATTGAGAGAAACATGTTTATATTTCTTGACAAAAGCGTAATATCAGGATGTGTCTTGGTGATGCTATGAGAAAACTCATTTAGAAATGGATTTGAATCAGCATGTTCAATAATATGTGATGTATTAGTAGTGGAATGCATACTGTTGTGAGAATATATACGTTAAATACACTCGTGGCCTGAGAAATGAAATCGATTTTACTTTTCTTTTTCGTAAAGTGGACTTGCTTCCATTGAGGATAAGAATTTTGTTCCCAGCCTTGCTTTAGCTTGTGCTGACTTGAACAACTGAAAGTTTCCTCTCAATTGAAGGGGATAGCTCATATAGTTAGCTGCTAGCGAATGCAACTATTTTTTTGTTTGGAGCTTGCAAATCGTGAGAGCGACTTATCTACTTCTACTAATGATAGAAGAGTGAGCAGTATAGCACCAATATTCTCATTATTGTTGATGATGGTTCTGATGCCACTTCTGTATTGATTAGCTTGATCAACCTAAAAAAAAATAATCTTTTGATGACTGAGAAATCTGTCTGGAGCTGACCCTTTAGGCCAACTGCTGCCTTTGCAACTTGGGGATGATGGCCGCCTTCTACCTTTTTCTGCATACATACCATAGTAAGTTCGCTTGGCGCAGCGAACAAACTGATATATAGGATACTTGTTTTTTGGTGCTTAAAACTGCTAGAGCGGGAGATTGTGCTAGTTGAATGTGCAGAGGTGGTCAACACTTATGATTGAAGGCATTTATTTCATTCTAGGTTACTTACCTCACTGAGAATATACCTCGGCCAGAAAAGATTGGCATTTGGTTTCGTTGCTGCTGGGCGTCTTGTAGTACCACTCTTTTACTGCTTCCTTTAATTAACATTCTTTATCGTTAGAATGTTTCTTCTATGACATAGTGCAGCTGTGAAGGGGAAATTTGACAAAAGTAGAGTAATTTGTGGCAGTGTTATCAAAGGTGAAAAGCGCAAAAATACAATGAGATCTGTTGGGGCTTTAAAGCAAGGTGCAACTAAAGCGCAAGCTTGTAACTGTAATTCAAGAATAACAATTATTAGCACTATTGATAATTATATTGACAAAAGAATCTAAAAATTATAATTAAGAGAAATGTTTATTGTTAAGTGTCGCTTCTTTGAGACCACACTCATTGGTGATGAAGCGTACACCTTATTGCCATGTACTGAAGCTCTGGCCAACCAAGGCAAAATGCCAGCCTATTTTGCACCTAGCTTCAGGACTTAAGTGAGCCGTTGATAACTCTGCTGTGTGGATGATGATTTATAGTGCACATAAGGCACACCATGCTGAATAAACAATCTCTTTACTTTAGAGAGCAAAAGCAATATATTAATTCTTGGCTAAGCATGTTATCACTGTTTGAATTATGAACATTTTCTGATCTTCTTATTATATGAACGTTACTTTGTCAAACATCACATATACTGATCTTCTTGCTTAGAATCCCAACTGCACCCATTATTACTTCTGTTGGTAAATTTCACGTTTGTTTCTCTCTTTTTATAATTCAGGATTTTACGGCTATATTTTTTCTTTGAGTACTTAATAACTGGTATAGTGTTTGTAGGTTGGTGTGGTTGAGGAGCCAGATAGAACCGCCTTAACTGAATCTTGGAAATCATGGATGGAAGAACATATTACGACCAATGGAAAGGTACCACCGGGTAATGAACCTGGAAATTCAACATGGGTACGTCAGCCTCCAAAGAAGAAGGCTGATCTAAGGTTAACACCAGGCCGTAACGTACAGTTGACAGTGCCCTTGGAGGACCTTATTGACCGGCTAGTGAAGGAAAACAAGGTGGTTGCTTTCATTAAAGGGTCAAGAAGTGCACCACAATGCGGGTTCTCACAGAGAGTGGTATCCATTCTCGAAAGTGAAGGTGTTGATTATGAAAGTATCGATGTCCTTGATGAAGAGTACAACTCCGGATTGAGGGAAACGTTGAAGAACTATAGTAACTGGCCTACATTTCCACAAATTTTTGTGAAGGGTGAGTTGGTTGGTGGATGTGATATCTTGACTTCCATGTATGAGAAGGGTGAACTTGCCAGCTTGTTCAAAAGCTAAAAATGTTTTAATTAGCAGTAAAAAGTGTAAGCTTTATTGTGAGAATTACATTTCTTTGAACTTATTTACTCATCAGTGTATTGGTATTGTGGAAATAGTGCAATAGTTTGAAGAAAATTCATTGTTAATGTGTACAAAAGAATATGTCACAAGTACCATAAGAGTTTTTTGCATTTGTGCCGGCTCATAATCTAAAAAAAAATCGCTTTTATTAACGTCAAGTAGCATTTCAAGTTCATTTGATATGTGAAAAAGTTTTTTTATTTTTATGTCAGTTCATGATCTAAACGAGTTACACTTACTAACATCAATAAGTAGCATCGCAACAAAAGATGAAGACTTATGGTACATTTGATACGTAGAAGGGGATAAACAAAGATATCTATAAGATTATAAATGAAACTTTGAAAAAAGAAATTGCAGTAGAAGACAAAAAATACTTATGGTATATTTGATACGTAGAAGGGGATAAACAAAGATATCTTATAAGATTATAAATGAACTTTGAAAAATGAAATTGCAATAGAAGACAAAAAATAGCAAGTGATATTTAGGGAAAAGCTCTACGTTTGTGAGGAGCAGATTAGGACAAAAGCTGATGGTTTTTGAACCGCGATTCATATAGTTTTAGGACGGAGTCAAAAATTGAAGTTTATGAATTTAATTTTTTTAGAAAAAAATTATCGAAGTCAATCTTTAAATTTTTATTAACCAAATTAAATTATAGAAATACTATATAATTTGTGTTGCATAACTTAATTTCTATCCGTTATATATCGAGCAAAACAAAACTCTTTAAACTTATATCGATCGAATTAGTTCATCAATAAAAATACTAACTTTGATTCATAATAATTTATAAAATAAACAACAAAAAAAATAATTTGATATTTAAGAACAAAAATCAATAACCACAAGAAAACAAATACCATTAAGAAAACTTATATTTTTTTCAACTATTTGAAATCCGTGGCACAAAGTGGATTGCCAAGTGCCTCTTCGTATATTGTTTAAAAAATCATTTTAATCTTCACTAAAATACAAACCCCTTCAACAATTTCTGTATATTATTTTAAAATCTGCACAATTAAGATAAATCCAAAATTTGAGTTTTTTATAGTAAGTTCATATCTATTATTATTTGTTGAATTTGAGTTTTGTTATATTAAGTTCATATCTATTATTATTTGTTATAGTTTTTATATGTATAATTTATACTCTACGTAAAAAAAATCAGATAAATTGAATCATTATTTTATAACATAAATTCAAATTAAAGTTATTTAATTGAGTTTGTCTATTACTATTTGTTAATATTTTTGTATATATAATTTATACTCAATATAAAAGATACTAAAGGTGTTATTCCTGTGATCATCATATAAATAGTAAGAAAAATAATGAAATAAAAATATGGTTTCATATTCGGATAAAAAAAATTTGTGTTTTTTTAAAGAATTTATTTCCCTCGCACTTGCTCTAAGGTTTGAATTATTCCTATATTGACGAGATGGAATATATCTGATTATAATTATAATTATGAACAGAAAATTAATTCTCTAAACAAAATTATCAATCAATTAGACCTCGAACTCGAAATCAAATCGAGCTAACTCTTTTAAAATAAAAGTTAAATAAAAATGAACGATATAAAATTATCAATTAACTACATATTAAAGTCCAAACTAAATCAAACAACGAATGAAAATAACCACATAAATAAGTCTCTCTCCTCAACTCTTAATTTAATTTTGAGAACTAATAAAATTAACTCTTCTAAAATGAAACGTTGAATAAAAATGAACGATACAAAATTATCAATCAACTACATATTAAAATTCAAACTAAATCAAACAACGAATGACAATAACCACGTAAGTAAGTCTCTCTCCTCAACTCTTAATTCAATTTTGATAACTAATCAAATTAATTCTCGAAACACGAAACATTGAGTAAAAATAAACGGAGCTAATAATTTTCCTCTTCATGTTCAACTAGAATGCATTTGAATTTTGAAATCCGTGACGCCGAGACCCATTATTGGACATGGTAAAAGTGGTAGAGAATTAGCCATTTGTCATTACCTAAACATTAGAATTGTTAGGTCTCATCTTATGAAGCCAAGTAGGATTGACAAGTGCCTCTTTCTCTTTAATTCTCGTAAAAAAGAATAATTTAATTCATAAAATTAAAATTAGAGTAAATATACTAAAATATTTATCAGGTAAAAAATTATAATTAATTAAATTATTTTTATGTCAAATCAAAATCAGATAAACATCGGGATCTTCCAAGTACTAATAAATTTGTGTGTGTAGTTCACTACTTTCCTTTGATAAAATTTCAAAAAGAAAAGAAAAAAAAACAAATATGCCACCAGGGTCATCAAGAGCCAACATAAGTGTTGGTTCATTTGAAGCTTTTCTTCAAGGTTGGTTAATACGTCAAGAAGAATTGTTGAATGAACTTACAACAACACAAAACACACTTGATGAATCAATTATACGAAACCTTATTTCGCGTATTTTAGCTCATTATCAAGAATATTACGAAGAAAAATCAAGAATGTCACATATAAATGTGTTCTACATGTTTTCTCCATCATGGTTTAGTCCATTAGAAAAAAGTTTCTTATGGATTGCTGGGTTTAAACCAGGATTAGCCTTTCCACTTGTAATGAATTCCGTTAATGATTTGACTGAAAATCAAATCGAAATGATTAATGGCCTAAAAATCGAAACGAGGATCCAAGAGAGGGATCTTATGGACAAATTAGCTAAAATTCAAGAAAGTGTCGCTGCACCGCCGTTGATGGGACTTGCACAGCAGTACCGAATGGAAATGCTTCAAGGTATCCGTCTAAAAGCTTAAGTTATTAGAAATAATATATTTTCTTTAGATGTCATAATTTTGCATATTATTTTTTAGTTATAATTTTTTGTAAAATAAAAAATGACAAGTGAAGCTTTAGATTAATATCATTAAAAGAATTTTACTCGATGTCCAAACTCAATAGATTTTTGAAAAAAAAAGGACCTTATGAAGATTTTTAATTATTTGTGGAGTATAATTTATGTGACGATATTTGGATTTTGGATTTTATTAATTAAGATATTAATAAAATTTACTTAGTTATAAAAAGTAGTTAGTGCGTATAAGTCGTAATAACTAATAATTAAAACAATCAATATTGTTTTGAGTCTTGAAAATTCAAACAATCTGGGGAGTACACAATCATGTTATCTCTCGAAGACATTTTGTAGTGCTAGATCAAATTTACCAGCGGACGGTTGAAAAACGATACGATCCTTCGCGTTTTCCTCTTCATAAGCCCAACATGTGGAGTTATTTTATTTGTTTGTTTATTTTTGCTTTTTGAACGGGACCTGTTGTCTGCTGCTCTGATACTTTGACGATCTCATATACTTTTACTTACTTAATTATATTATGTTATATAGATGGAGAGATTAGTGAAGTGGACGAGGAGATAGAGATAATAAGAACCGCGATGGAGAATGTAGTAACAGATGCAGATAGATTGAGGACAAAAACAGCAGATAGTGTGGTGGGAATTCTAAATCCTTTGCAAAGTTTGAAGTTTTTGGCAGCAGCAGCACAACTTCAACTAAGAATAAGGATGATTGGTATGCAGAGAGAAGCAGAGAGGAGACACCAAATGGATACCTCAAATGGTTGGTAGATTTGGTTTTTGGGACGGGAACCAAATAAATGACTACTTGAATCGCGATTTTGAGCATAAAAGACTTTCGAGTTTGGGTTTTTTTGAGACTTGTTTGATAAATAACAAGTACTATAATAATGTAAGATGAAATGTTTTTTTCTTTTTGGTGTGTTATATCTAAGTTGGGACTTATTTTGTAGTGGTAGTAGATAATTTTTGGTTAGGCAATATAATATACATATATCTATTCTCATAATAATAAGACTTTGGGTGAATGTTTTACCTTCTTGCTTTTACAAAGTTGAGGTAACTTTGTTGTATTTTTTTTAATCTTCATATTGTGTTTCAGTTAATTAGTTTTATATAGATAATTGTCTCTTTCAATTATAATAGCGAATTCAGAATTTTTGTGTTGCTAAAAAATAAATACAAGTATTGTTTTTTTGAACCCCTAATCCATTGTATAAAATACTGTCATATAATTCATTAAGGTTTATACTTTACCACGTAGAAAAATTTTCAAGCTTGAGGCGTGTGAAAGACATTGTACTTAAGGATATTTCACATTTTATAAGGTATCTCTAGAATTCAACATACTCTAGTATAAAACTAAGAGTCAGAAATTAACAAAGATCTTATCAATAAACATTCAACACTAAAATATATCTTTACGTAGGAGAAAAAAATATGTTCTTTTCATCACTTCCGTCTCTATCTATATTCTATGAATAGAAGATACATATACATACATACTCAACTCAAATGAACGTTCAAACAAAAACATTTTAACATTAAACATGGTAAAAAAACATTTATCCCCATCAATCCATTATAGGTCTTGCATTGTCATATATTAATGACAAAATAACATACCTTTAAAGATATATTATAATTATTTATTAATAAAACATTTCTTTTTTGTGATATTATCTTATTTTTCCGACACTTAAATAAACAAAATATATGTATTAGGAAAAAATAAAATTCGATGGAGATGCGGGGTATCGATCCCCGTACCTCTCGCATGCTAAGCGAGCGCTCTACCATCTGAGCTACATCCCCATTTGTGTTTAAATTTTCATCTACAAAATCGTGGACTGATTATCTTATGCGGAACAAGGACATAAATGTAGTCTAACCTACTTAGTCACTTGACATATTTTAGCAAGGAATTTCAAATTATAAAGAAATAAACGCACATACACAAAAAAGCAAAATAATTATAAATATATATCTTTTTATATTTATATCCTTCGAATAATTATATTATATATCTTCTAATCAATCTCACTAAACTAATACTAAATCAGTATTATATATTGCATTAATATCATTAAGTCTAACAATATCACTTAATCGATATACTGTATTAGTATCATTAAAATTGATAATTACACTTGATTGTATCAGTTAAATTGAATCATTATCATCTTTTATGACA